TACACACTCATCTGTTTGATTAATTACAAATCCATAAGATAGTATAATTTCATCAAATTTCATATGCCATTGTTTTGGGGCTTGTTTGAGACCATATAGTGATCTAATAAGCTTGCATACTTTCTTTTCTTGTCCAGAAGCTATAAATCCCTCAGGTTGATCCATATAAATTTCTTCATCTAAGTCTCCATTTAAAAATGCAGTTTTAACATCCATTTGATGTATTATTAATTTGTGAATGGATGCTAGAGCTATGAGGACTCTAATGGTAGTAATCCTAGCTACTGGAGAATAGACATCAAAATAATCAATACCAGACTTTTGGGTATATCCTTTAGCTACTAATCTGGCTTTATATTTATCTATTGTTCCATCAGGTCTAAGTTTCTTCTTAAACACCCATTTACATCCTATGGTTTTACATCCTGAAGGAAGATCAGTTAGTTCCCAAGTATGATTTTGAACTATAGATTGTATCTCATTATTTATAGCTTCCTTCCAAAATGGAGCATCTACTGATTTCATTGCATCTTCAAATGTAACTGGAGAATCTTCTACAAGTAATGCATAGAAATCTTCATGGACCTTTTCTATTCTAGTTCTTTTACTTCTCCTAGGCTCCTCTGGACTTTCTAGTGGTCTAATTTGTTTAGAACTAGTTTCACCTTGATTAGAACTAGGATCTGAATTATTAGAGCTAGGGCCTGTGTTGTTTATTCTGGTCTTGTAAGGAAAAATATTTTCAAAGTAATGTGCATCCCTAGCTTCAATTATGGTGTTGTTGGCTATCTCATTAATGTCAGAGTTGATTATTAAAAATCTATTTGCATTACTATCAGAAGCATAGCCAATAAAAATTCCATCTACAGTTTTAGGGCCAATCTTCTTTCTTTTATTCTCAGGTATTTTGACTTTTGCTAAGCACCCCCACACTTTTAGGTGATCTAAATTAGGGTTTCTATTCTTCCAAATTGTGTAAGGGGTTTTATCAGATTTCTTGAATGGAATTCTATTTAGTATATGACATGCAGTCATGAGAGCTTCTCCCCATAAATTTTCTGGCACACCAGAATTAATTAACATTGAGTTTACCATGTCCATTAGTGTTCTATTCTTTCTCTCAGCTACTCCATTAGATTGAGGTGTATATGGAGCAGTTATTTCATGAATAATTCCATTATCTTCACAGAATTGTTTTAATTCATTAGAAGTGTACTCACCACCTCTATCTGATCTTAGTATTTTAATTTTCCTATCCAACTGATTTTCAACTTCTGCTTTATATATTTTAAATTTGTTTATGACTTCATCTTTAGTCTTAATTAAGTAGAGGTAACAATATTTAGAGCAATCGTCTATAAAAGTTACAAAATATTTGTTACCCCCTCTAGTTGTTCTTCCTGAATCACAAACATCACTATGGATGAGTTCTAATATCTCAGAATCTCTATCAATAGTTTTAAATGGTTTCTTAGGAAGTTTGGCTTCTACACATATTTCACATTTTTCATCATCTTTTATATTAAGCTTTGGAATTATATTGAGATGCATCAATCTTTTAATTGAATTATAATTCACATGTCCTAATCTTTGATGCCAAGTGATGGAAGGTTCAATATTCAAAGCTATTGGAGATGCAAGAGTAGAATTCTTAACATTCAATTTAAAAAGACCATCACATAAGAAACCTTTTCCAATGAAGTTCAAACCCTTAGTTATTACAACTTTATTTGATTCAAAAACAAGTTTGTAGCCTTGTTGCACTAATAAAGATCCGCTAATTAAATTTCTCCTAATGTCTGGTACATGATGGACATCCTGCAGGATCAAAGTCTTATCAGAAGTCAGCTTTAGGTTGATCCGACCTATTCCGGATACAGGAGCCACATTATTATTTCCCATTGTCACAGTTCCTCTACTTGAGACCTGATAGGTGGAAAACAAAGATTGATTAGAGCAAACGTGAATATTAGCTCCAGTGTCAATCCACCAATCATTTGCTTGAAAGGTCATGTTTACTTCAGGAGTGAAGAGAACAGACCTGAAAGCAGCCTCAGCTGGACTGGAAGTCACCATGTTTACTTGTGACTTATTAGGTGGAGGTCCTCCCTTCCTAGGCTTGGGTGGTTCAGTTTTCTTGAAAAAGCAGTCCTTAGCAAGATGGTTGGTTCTTCCACAAACGAAGCAGGCTCGACGTTCAGCTCCTTCCTTCTTTTGAAAGTGAACATGGTTCTTATTTTGATGATAGGGTTTCTTCTTAAATGTTTTATTTTGATTTTGGTGGAAGGGACGTTTCTTGTGTTGGGGAAAGGGTTTGGATTCAACATTGTTTACTTTGGGTTCTTTGGGTTCAGATTTTGTCACATTTTTCTCCCTGAGTCTATGTTGCTCTTCAATTCTAATAGAATTCAATACTTGCTCTAGGGTAAGATCTCCTTGGGTATGGTTAAGGTTTTTGGCAAAATCTGACCAGGACTCGGGAAGTTTGTCTATAAGACAGGCTATCTGAAACGTTTCATCTAAGATGGATCCATTCACTTTTAATTGGTGAACTATATGTTCAAATTCATGAATTTGCTCATTCATTGGTTTAGAATCTACCATTTTAAATTTGTTAAAATCAGAAGCTTTAAATCTTTTAATTCCCATATCATCTAAACCATACTTTTTCTCTAGGGTTTCCCACAGAACTTTAGCATTAGTGATAGTATAATATATATCATATAACCTATCAGATAAAGCTCCTAAGATTCTGTGTAGACAATGATACTCTATTTCTTGAGGTGTTCTTGGGATAGGAATGGAATCTGTGGAGGAAGATGAGGAAGATTGCCTAGTAACTGGTCTAGATGAAGATGGGTTATCTGGTTCTATGGCTGTTATTAGATGTAGGGTTGTTAACCAAAATCTCATTTGGTTTTGCCAACGACGAAAATTATTCCCATCAAACTTCTCTGGTTTAGCAGACATAACTTCACTTGTAGCCATAATCTGATGATGAATGAATATTTTTGTTATTATAATGCAGCAGAAATATATAAAGCATTCATTCAACAGAATAATCATGCATTGTAACATTTCGTTTTTAAGAATTGCAGACAACATTAACATAAAAACCAGAATGTTAATCATGTTACTATTCTAAACAGCACAAAATTAGTTTCTTGGAATGTTGGGAATCTTAACTGTTTAGACAATAACGAAAATCAGTTTAAACAATTTGATAATTAACAGATAATTACTATTATAACGCAGATATAAGAAATATATCAAATGAAAAGTAAATAGAGGTTAGAAATACGGCCTGATGGTCGAGGCGTGCAAGCACTGTCCCAAGAAACTAATTGCCCCCTCTCGTACAGGGCTACGCGGCAAAAGCTCCCGGAGATACAACGACCCTCGGTCAGGCGACCTCCTTCTCGTCGGCACGAGCTTCAAGAAGGCTTTGCGAATTCTTCGTAAACTTTCAGGGAACCAGCAAATTGTAACAGTAAGTATTTTGAAAGAGAAGAACAGAGAAGGTGAAGAAGAGGTTGTTGCTTTTCGCTGTATTAAACTCTGCGGATTTTAGATCCTTTTATAGGGAAAAACAGCCGTTACTTATAAACCCCGTAATTAACACGGTTTTAATCACGTTAATAAAACGTAGCCGATATATATATATATATATTGATTGTTGTTTTTAGAATGAATTTTCCTTAAGGATTTGATGTCTATTTATAGCGTTTGGAAAAACACTATACACTAATAAAATAATATTATTTTACTATACATGTGAGAGCCACGTCCAAATTTTTCTTCGGTGGGGCCCACCACTTTATTTAATTTCAAAGTTCAGCGGCCCACGTTTTGTTTCTTCCTTGCCTAATTATGTGGGGCCCGCTAGCTTTTAATTAAAAAAAAATTATCTAACAAAGGAAACATTATTTGAGAGGTAGACCAATACGGATTTATTGAAGACCTTACGGGCTAACATCTAAATATCCCTCCTTGCATTTTGTGTTTTGGTGGTTGAATTGAATATCAATTCCAAGGCCCATGAGGAAGACCATGTGTGGTGGGCAAGAGGCAGTCACGTGATGAGGTTGGGCCTCAGCATCGGAGTTGCCCACAAGAAGACCATGAAAATTCAAAGTTTCACCTGTCTACGACTGGAGTTAGACGCAAAATGCAAGGGCAAAATAGTCTAAAATTTTTACGGATTTTTTTTTAGCCCAGCCTGGCCCGCTAGGAATTTTTTTATACATAGTATGGTATTGTATTATAAGTCATGCAAAAGGAAAGACGCGTGCCATTATCCAGCAAGAGGGGAATCACTTTTTCAAGCCACCTTTAATTCATAAAACTAGCCGTTTGATCTTTTGAAATGCATGTCCAAATCAAGACTAACGAACATGATTTCCACTAATCAACATAATAACGGGACTTAGATTAAGCTGAAACTAGCCGTTTTTTTTCCTAACTCTGCATCGATCATTTTAAGCTTGAAAAATTCCCCGATGACCCAAATTATAGGACCAACAGGGGGACATGTGAGGTGTCCCCCTCTTATTGCATAACGAGCTGGCCATCATTGACCAGCTCATTTATGGCAATAGGAGGGGGACATCTCACATCGTCCCCCCATAGTTGATCTCATATTTTGGAATCCTTGTAACATAAGCTCCTTCAAAAATTAGTCCCGTAATATAGACTTTTGAACAAAATCCCGCCCCCCACCCCCCCTCAAATAATTTGAACCAGACCTTTTGCATCCTTCACTAGAGAAACTTCTCACTGTTTCGTGGGGGTACAGTTTCACCGTCAAATCTACCAATAATTGCGTCCAGTTGGCCTCATTTGATTGATTTTTTTTTTCAAAAGCATTGTTCCCACAATCCTCTCGTGTGCTTCTTTTGAGAAAAAAAGCATCAAAGGGAACATTGTGTCCCATGACACGCATAAAATCAACAAGCATAGCCTAGAGGAGGGCATCGGTCCCATGCTCAAATGCCGACGGCTGTAGACTGAGGTCCACTCAAGCTGTCAACCAAAAGGAGTGATGTTGAAGCACGCAATCTATATATATCCCCTCCAGGCTTTATCCTATAAAAAAAAACCCCATCTGAAGTCACAAAAGAGTGAGCGAGCAGCCAGCGCTCTCTGTTGAAAAAAAAAATTTGAAGACAATGAGATCCAAGTGTTTGGTTGCAGTTGTCGTGTTGAGTGCATTAGCTAGCGCCGGAGCTCAAAGTCTAGAGCTCGGTTTTTACGACAAGAGCTGCCCAAAGGCAGAGAAGCTCATCTCGGACTTTGTTAAGGAGCACATCCCAAACGCTCCCTCCCTGGCCTCTCCGCTCCTCAGAATGAACTTTCACGATTGCTTTGTGAGGGTACGTACGTCGGTAAAAAAATTAAAAAAAAAAAAATCCATCGCCTGCTTGTCTTCTAGCTAGTTTAATTCACTCCGTTTTAAATATTCTTCAGGGCTGCGACGCCTCGGTCTTGATCAACTCATCCACGGGCGCAAACCAGACCGAGAAGGCCGGTGTACCGAACAGAACCCTTCGCGGGTTCGACTTCATCGACCGCGTGAAAGCGCTCGTGGAAGCGGAATGCCCCGGCGTCGTCTCCTGTGCGGATATCATAGCTCTCACCGCCAGAGATGCGGTTGGTGTCATAGTAAGTGTTGATGAGAAAAAAGAAAAATTCCCCAATGACCCATAATACGTGACCAACGGGGGGCACAGGTGAGGTGTCCCCCTCCTATCGCATAATGAGCTCATTATGCAATAGGAGGGGGACGTACACCTCACATGTCCCTCTGTTGGTCTCACATTTTAGGTCCCTATAGCAAAGCTCTGAGGGAAAAAATGAAAGTCCTATTAAGTTATCAAAATGCCTACTATTGGCATTAATTATTGAGATGGCTATACGGCTATACATACATGCAAATTCTTTGTTTTATAAATCTTTCTTTCATTGCAGGGAGGACCCTTCTGGAACGTTCCTACCGGCCGAAGAGACGGCTTGATTTCCCTTGCTTCAGAGGCTAACTCACAGATCCCTGCCCCTTCGTTCAACTTCAGCTCTCTCCAGACGTCTTTTGCTAACAAGGGACTGAACATAACTGATCTAGTTTTCCTAAGCGGTATAATTAGCTTCTATAACGTTTGTTCACATTGACAGGTTTCAATTAAATAAAAAAACTAGCCTGAAAGATACTCGGCATGTGTGTGTACATTGTAGGAGCGCACACGATAGGAGTTGCGCACTGCTCGTCCTTCAGCAACCGGCTCTACAATTTCACCGGGAAAGGCGGCGAGGACCCTTCGATGGATAGCTCCTACGTCGCAAACCTGAAGAAGAACAAGTGCAGGTCCCCGAATGATAATACAACCATAGTCGAAATGGACCCGGGGAGCTTCAGGACATTCGATTTAGGATACTACAGGGAGGTGCTCAAAAGGAGGGGCCTGTTTCAGTCGGATGCAGCCCTGATAACCGACTCGGCGACGAAAACTCTGATTATGGACCTGGTTAGTAGTCCTGAGGAGAAATTTTTACGGGGGTTTTCTTCGGCTATGGAGAAGATGGGCAGAGTTCAAGTGAAGACCGGGTCACAAGGTGAGATCAGAAGGAATTGCGCTGTTGTGAATAGTTAGATGAGATGAGTTGTTCTGTTGAATTTGTGTTTGAATTGTTTTAATCGTGTGTTTGATATCCATGGCTATTGGTTTTTCTTCGTACGTGGTTGTATGTGTTGGAAGGGGTGATTGCAAATTGAAGGGTCATTGTATTCGTTTTGAATTGGTATTATTAAGCCTTTGATTGCGGAGCATATCATGGAGATGCATGAGGGCTTTATTATAATAATTTGTGAGATTTGTTTGGATGTGGACTATGAAAAATGTATGAAGTAACATGATGTATAAAAGTACACATGTTTGTCATGAGCATCTTAAGAAATGGATTACTATAACCCCCAACAACTCNCCCAAGCATGGATATAGCACAATAAATCATGATACCAATAAAAAAAATCCACCTGTTTGAGTATACTAAAGTTTTTATGTGTGGTACCAGAGCAATCATGGTTCAAGTTAGAGCAATCTTGGTCCACATAATACAAGATGAATGTTCAAAGATGAATGTTCAAAACTGATCTTACAAAAGGTATCGTTGTTTTTTAGAATCTTTCGAATTTCAGCTCAAAAAACGGATGATATAATGGAAGCATGTTACAGTATAAAATTATAATTGTCAAATTTCAGAGTTCTTATGCATGAATTTCACAAAATTCATTAATTTATATATATCAGGGACGGTCGAATCAATTTTCTTTCAAAAGAAATATTCTAGTTACTTGGTTCCGGGAAGACAGTACTAAACCTGACGCACCAAATTGAACATAACAGCAAGTTTTTGGTGGGAAATGTGGGCTTCAACTTACAAAAATTGGAAACTGTCATTAACATTAATCAAACAAATACTGATAGCTGAAAGAAGCACAGTGACCAACTCAAACAAAACCGGAAATTGAGAGCTACCCATAAACAAGATAACCACATAATTCACTCTCAGTCGACATCTAAATCTCTAGTCTGCCAGAAAAATAAGCGTCAGCGAAGAAAATTTCTGTTCATGTTTATCCTCTAACATAATACATTCGTGGAAATAAAATGTGACAGGTTCCCAAACATGAACTCAGGCCTATAAGAAGCTGCCCCCATCATCTAATTTGATTTCAGGTGTACATTATACACCGTGTTGTTTGTGTTGTAGTCCAAAACAAATGAAAATGAGGCTTAACGTTTTCCTGGTCTTTGTTATTTTCTGTCAATTAAACTATACTGAAGCAATTCCAGTACAAGGTTTCTATGCACCCAAGTGTCCTAACGCAGAGAGGATCGTTTTCGATTACGTCAGGAGACATATTCCAAATGCACCGTCACTGGCTCCTGCTCTCCTTAAACTGCACTTCACTGATTGCTTTGTGAGGGTAGAGTACTCACAATTCGTATATTAGTTGTTTATATTATTAAGTTTAATTTTCATGTATTGTTGATACATTTTCAGGGATGTGATGCGTCTGTGCTGTTAAATTCAACTTCCAGCAATAAAGCGGAGAAAGAAGCAAGTTCGAACCTAAATCTTCGTGGGTTTGAATTCATCAATCGAATTAAAGAACGCCTAGAGGCTGAATGTCCTGGTGTTGTTTCATGTGCTGATATACTTTCCCTAGCTGCAAGAGATGCAATTGGAGCTGTGGTGAGAATCATGTTTCTTAAAAACTATGGTAATTTATGTATCGACGAAATTATGTTCTTTTCTTGTTTTGTATTACAGGGAGGCCCTCATTGGCGAGTTGTCACGGGACGAAGAGATGGACTGATTTCTAAGGCATCAGAAGCTGACGAAGAAATTCCAAGATCAGATTTTGATTTTAACACACTCATGAGATCCTTCTCGAGCAAAGGGCTGAACGTGACAGATCTAGTTTACTTAAGTGGTACACTAGTATAATCACACAACTTCAGTGGGTTTTTTTTGGATAAATTTCTCAAAATGCCATGAAATTTGGGGGCTTTGCACAAAGCCCTCTTCACTTTAAAATTAATGAAAAACCATTTGGACTTTCAGATAAGACTAAACCCTTCTGAACTATTGGAAAAATCTCATAAACCACGTAAATGGGTAGAGCAATAAGTTTGAATTATGACAAATCAAATTTTTGTGATGAAAATTTGGAATGAAACATTCATATGGAAGAAAAAGATGCGATTACAGGGTCACTTCTTTAGACTTTTTGCTGTACATGTTAAAGCCATTTATAAGATTTTTCAGGGTTTTCTTTATTTATGAGGTTTAGTGGGTTTTTGTGAAATTCAACTTTTTTTCTTTATTTTCCCATAAAAGTAAAAAAAACATTCCCGGAGTTTGATTCACGGAAATTTATGCCGACAGGAGCTCACACCATTGGGTATACTCACTGCACATTCTTCAGCAACAGGCTCTACAATTTCACAGGCTATGCAGATCAAGACCCTACACTCGACGCTTGCTATGCTGAGAAACTGAAGGAAACAAAATGCAAAACTCCTGAGGATAGCAAAACTCTGATTGAAATGGATCCGGGAAGCGCTAAATCTTTCGACATTGGATATTACAGGAATGTACTCAGCAAGAGAGCCTTATTTCAATCTGATATGGCTCTTTTGACTGATTCCTTATCTAGATCCGTAATCTTTAACATTGTCAGTGCACCGCGAGCTGATTTTTACTTAGATTTTGCTCTGGCTATGGAGAAAATGGGGAGGATTATGATAAAGACTGGAGATGAAGGTGAAATAAGGAAAAATTGCGCAGTTGTGAACAATTAGACTGCAGGGACTTTTTGAAGAGTTTTACTAAAGCATGAATGTAGTGTGTAATAATATTATGGGTTCCATGAACAAAATTACTTTTGTTGTATGGGTAATAAAATTAGACATGCATGGGTTGATGTAGATTTAGGAAATTTGCATGAAAGAACAATAAATAGTACTAATTTTGCAAATGATGATGGTGGAAATGTTGCAGTAATACTGTGATCTTTTACAATATATAAGTAGTAGCTTATGTTGGTACATAATTATATTGTTGATGATGACTTTAGGCAGGAGAAATGATTATAGCACGGGTGGTGATTATGAGAAATGATTATCGCGACAAATAATGCAATGTTATTCATCGGTTAAGGTACAATGTTTCAAGTTTTGCATCATGAGCTTGTAAGTTATATTTGTCTATTATTATTTCAAATATCTAATACTTATAATATTATCATGCAAATCTTCATGTTTAATAGTTTATCTTCTAATTTGTGACCAGACTATTACAATTTAGAGTGTAAATTAAGCTATCGGGTCGGGTCAAACTTATAACCTGACCCGTTTGTTAGACAGTCCTAATCAATCAAATAAGGATTTTAGCGGGTACTAAAAGCTTCCCATACTCGGGTCAGTCAAAATTCGACCCGTTTTTCTTTTTCCTCTCGTTTTACCAAACTCCTCATTGTTTGTGGAATCGAGATCTCTGATAAAATTTAGCCTTCTACTTCTCAAAATTCGAATATTTGGATTCATGGGTCTCCCGATTTCATTCAGGTTTCTTTTTTCCCTTTATTCTTTTATTATGTTCAATTCCTGAAAATTACTTGTAATATTGTTTTTTATTCAATTTGTATGAATTATAGAGCTAAATTGATGTTTTTTAAATAACTTTTAAATATTGGATTTTTTATCGATTTCTGATGTGCCTTTAGAGATTTTTAGCTCAATCTGTGTCTGGGGAATTTTCAAAAATTTTGAAACAAGATACAAGCTTCACCCAGGATTATACCTTAAATAGAATGAAATAAATATACACAAATTATTGAAAAAGAAATTTATGTAATCCCTTTTATGTGCTAGTTATTAATACTTGTATTATTGAAGATATTTCAATCAGTTATTTCTCAAGTAGTGGTAAAAAGGTTAAGTTCTTGCATGTATTCATAATGTGAAACCTACTCTATTGGTAATTTAAGAGGAATATTTGGTTGGAGGATCCTGTCATGGTAATTAGTATCTTTGAGTACTTGGTTTTCATGAAAAGAATTATTCAAGTATAGAAAGTAACATAGTTTGTGACGCGGATACGAATAATTGGATGATGCAACATAACTTGATCAATAAATATTAATTAGCAATTAAGTATCTTCACCCGTTGAGAAGGTATGATCAAATTCGGAGAAAGCTAACATGTATAGACAAGCCCCAGCTTGGAACAGACGATAAGCTTTCATTTTTCGACTACTATATTCATCTTCATTATCTTCTTGATGAATGTTGAAGTTAGACTAGTGTCATTGTTCTGCTTCTGCTGAATTAACAATAATATTCCTGAAAGATACTTAGTCCCTCATTGCTTTGCATATTTGCGAGGATATTGATATGATTTCTGTTAAACAGGAAACAATCATAGTTTGGATCATCTTGTGTTCAGTCCTGTTTGCAACTCATTCAGGAAGTGGATGGACAGAGATACATATCGTTGGATTTTAGGTTTGACATATATTTTGCAATTGCAGCAATATGGATTGTTTCTAGTTATATAGTCCAATCAGTTGAAGATGCCGGTGTCTCTTCATTCCTACTAACCTACATTTGCAACTTTTATTTATGATTTACATCCCTTTAGTTGAGATTTCACGCTATTTTGATAATTCGAGTAGATCTATTTAGAGTTGGTGGAAAACTGGCGATAATACAGAATTGCAACAAGTTGATTCCTTGGAGAATGTACATCTTATACCAGAAATAGATCATAATTCGGAGTCTAACTCTTTATTGAGTCCCACGGAGCTAGTAAAGATTTGAGTGATGAACTTGATGCACAAGAGCGGTGGACAAGAACTCGTGTGGCAAAAGTTAGCTTGTTGATATGCTCATTTTGGTTCTTTGCACAACTTGCTTTTAATCTATAATAATTCTAAGTTTTTGGCTATATATATAAGTAAAAGGACTTTTATATAAAATTTGTTAGAGGGTTTAGCAAAAAGGACTCTTATAAATAATGAAAACCCTACCCTAGTTCCTTCATTTGTTTCTCGTCAGCCTCTTCTCCTTGTTCTCGTCCCTGTCTCGCCGCTCAAGTAATAAAAAAAGAGAAACCGAGCAGCAACTTCGGAGGGCAGTAGGGACGTACCTGGGAGGAAACAAATTAATGTTTCACTTTTATCTAATCCCCATCTTAGCATCACCAATTAATATTGCCAACAGACTTACACAATGCATAAGAGGAGTTCGGATACAGTCAGGCCTACCGAAGCACCAATTAATATTGCCAACATACTTACACAATGCATAAGAGGAGTTCGGATACATTCAGGCCTACCGAAGCAGCTCTGGGCAGAAGCAATTAATACAGCAGCTTACTTGATCAACCGAGGTCCATCGGTTCCATTGGAGTACAGAATACCAGAGGATGTAGGAGGTAAAACTCTCACATCTCAAAGTTTTTAGTTATGTAGCTTATGTGCATATTAGTGATCAAGGTAGGAATAAGCTTGATCCCAAGCTATGTTACCCGAGTACTTCTATAATGAAGTCGTACCCGTACCGGACACGTACCCGACACTTTCCCGTACCCAAACTTCATGGACACTTCTTGAATATATGCATGCATTTATTACAACATGTACTCGATTATACGATATATGTATTAATTTAAAACACTTGTCAAAGACTTCCTGGACGTAGAGCTTACACTTCACATCCGTCTTTTGAAACTAATAAGATACTGGTCGGATTCATTTCAGTCCATACCCAAGTTTAAAACTATATACTTAATGGGTCTTTTAGATATCTAGTAAAAAAAATGAGTAGTTTACAATTCACGATAATCAATATGATAAAAGAAACTCAAAAATATGATCGGAATTTTAATTCTAATGAGACATGAAGGAGAAAAAATTATTTTATGTACAGTATTAATTCAATATATATATGTAGTCGTGTCCTCGTACCCTACATTTTACAGTTTTGCCGTGTCCCGTACCCGCACCCGCACCCGTACCCGTACCAGTACCCGTGCTCGTTTCCATGCAACTTAGCTCAAAGAAATGTACTTTCATCGACTATAGTGAAGATGAGTTCGGCTACCGCATTTGGGACAACGAAAACAAGAAAGTGATCCGCAGCAGAGATGTGATATTCAACGAGAAGGTAATGTACAAGGACATGCATAAGACAGATGTCTTTGACTCAGAGGAGATCGAGTCAACATTTGTAGATGCAGATGATGTCCCATGTGATCTCTCGAAAGAACCAAATGCAGCATGTCCTTAGCCAGAAGAGCCTGTTGGACAGAATGGTGCGCAGGAGCCTGACACACCAGCTCCGATATTGAGAATATCTTCTCAGCCTCCTGTGCCCAACAGGAGATATATGAACTATCTGTTACTGACAGATGGAAGGGAGCCTAAAAACTATGATAAATCTTATCAAAGTGGAGATGCGAACAAGTGAGAGCTTGCCATGAAAGATGAGATAAAGTCTCTCATCTCAAACCAGACGTGGAAACTAGCTGAGTTGCCTACGGGTAAGAAGGCACTCCATAATAAATGGGTGTACCGGCTGAAAGAGGAGCATGATGGTTCCAGAAGATATAAAGCATGTCTAGTTGTCAAAGGATTTCAGCAGAAGGATGGAATTGACTACACCGACATTTTTACTCCCGTGGTGAAGCTCAATACTATCAGGACAGTGATGAGTATTGTAGCTATTGAATATCTTCATCTCGAGCAATTAGACGTGAAGATGGTGTTTCTTCACGGAGATCTAGAAGAGGAGATATACATGCACTAGCCAGAAGGTTTCTCAGAAGAAAAGAAGAAGAACCTGGTGTGCAGACTCAAGAAGAGCTTGTATGGCCTGAAACAAACCCCAAGACAGTGGTGCAGAAAGTTTGACGGCTTCATGCACAAGGAGGTTTTCAGAAGTATAACGCCAACCACTGTTGCTACTTCAAAAGATATCAGTCTAGTTATATCATCTTACTGCTATATGTTAATGATATATTGGTTGCAGGTGCAGATATGGAGGATATCAGGAGTTTGAAGCAACAGTTGTCAAAAGAGTTTGACATAAAAGACTTGGTCTAGCAAAGAAGATCATTGGAATGAAAATCACGAGAGATAAGAAGAGAGGTCTCTTGCAGTTATCTCAGACAGAGTACATCAACCGTGTTTTGCAGAGATTCAATATGTGCGACACCAAGCTAGTCAACACATCCTTGGCCAGCCATTTTTGCCTGTCAAAGGATCAGTCTCCTCAGTCAGAAGAAGAGAAAGAGAGTATGACTAAGGTTCCTTACGCCTTGGCCGTTGGAAGCTTGATGTATGCAATGGTCTGTACAAGACCAGACATTGGCCATGTAGTGGGAGTCGTCAGCCGGTTCATGTCGAATCCAGGAAAAGCTCATTGGGAAGCGGTCAAGTGGATTCTGAGGTATCTACGATGCACCACACATAAGTGTTTGCACTTTGGTAAGGGAGAGGTGGACGTATAAGGGTACGTAGATGCAGACTTTGGCGGTAAAGTCGATCACCAAAGAAGCACCACCGACTATGTATTCATTGTCGGAACTACAGTTATTAGTCGGATGTCACAGATACAAAAGATTATCACTCTATCCACTACAGAAGCTGAGTATGTTACAGTGACTGAAGTCAACAAATAGATGATATGGCTTCAGGGTTTATTAACAGAGATGGGATTCAAACAGGAGAAGAATGTTTTGCACAATGATAGTCAGAGTGCGATTCACTTGGCTAAGAAATGTGCATTTCATTCTAGAATAAAGCACATTGGGCTTTGGTACCATTTCATCAGATCCCTGTTGGAAGATGACGTGTTAAAACTGGAGAATATTCCAAGAAGTAAGAATCCAGCAGACATGTTAACAAAGATGGTGACCATTCAGAAACTGGAGTTGTGCGCAACTTCAGTTAGCCTTCATGCATAGGTGATGAGGGTGGAGCCATACAGGAGTAAGTGCTTGTTAAGATAGCCTGCTGACGGCGGTTTGGTCTTCAAGTGGGAGATTGTTGCGTTTGGTGTAGACCAAACCTCGATTCAGGCAAGGGCAGGCGACGTCAGGCGAGCTTGAGTGAGCATCAGGCGAGGTCCAGGCGAGCAGGCGAGGTCGACGACTTCAGGTGAGCTCCGGTCGACGACGCAACTGCAGGCGAGCTCGCGACCTTCAGGCGAGCTCGAGCGAGATGCAGGTGAGACGAGCTCGAGATCAAGCGAGGTCGAGGAGCTGTGCAGGCGGGCTCGAATCGACTCAGGAGAGGTCGACGCAGGCGGGGTTGGTTCAGGCGAGCTCGAGCACACGCGTGGCTAGCGACAACCTGTCGCCAGCCTGTCGTTAGGGTTGCCTTATAAAAGGAAACCCAGACCCGAGATCTTGATGGGCTTCTTGTCTCTCTCTCCTCTCGCGACTTCTTCAAGCTCTGGCAGCGGGATCTCTCTCTCTCTCTCTCTCTCTCTCTCTCTCTCTCTCCCCCTTCAGGCAAGGGCAGGCGACGTCAGGCGAGCTTGAGTGAGCATCAGGCGAGGTCCAGGCGAGCAGGCGAGGTCGACGACTTCAGGTGAGCTCCGGTCGACGACGCAACTGCAGGCGAGCTCGCGACCTTCAGGCGAGCTCGAGCGAGATGCAGGTGAGACGAGCTCGAGATCAAGCGAGGTCGAGGAGCTGTGCAGGCGGGCTCGAATCGACTCAGGAGAGGTCGACGCAGGCGGGGTTGGTTCAGGCGAGCTCGAGCACACGCGTGGCTAGCGACAACCTGTCGCCAGCCTGTCGTTAGGGTTGCCTTATAAAAGGAAACCCAGACCCGAGATCTTGATGGGCTTCTTGTCTCTCTCTCCTCTCGCGACTTCTTCAAGCTCTGGCAGCGGGATCTCTCTCTCTCTCTCTCTCTCTCTCTCTCTCTCTCTCCCCCCTATTCCCTTTCCTCTCCAGCGCCTCTCAGAGATTAGAGGGGGGATTTAAGAAAGGGGGAATTTAAAGAGAATGAATTAAAGGTATTTAAGAGAAGAGAATCTTCACTGTAGCTACAGTGAAGATTTGTATTTATTGAGAGATCTCAAGTTTGAGATCTACTCTTGCATTGTAATTTCTTGTTAATTAATAAGAAATTAATTGTGTGGCTCCCGAGAACGTAGGCAAGTTTGCCAAACCTCGTAAATCTTGGTGTATTTTTCTCTATACTGCGTTTTTGCTGTTTTAGAGGTTTAGCGTAGCCCCGTGTAATCCCCAACAGACCCCGGCTTGCTCGAGTACCTCGGAGCTGCTTTCGTCATGGTAGGGTTTGCAGGGATCAATGTCCCTTCAGATTCTTGTAGCCAATCTCGATCTCAAGCCATTATACAAGAACAAGAAGGTGAAGGTGGTGTTGGTATTGAAATGGGGAGAACATCTTGTACTTCTTAGTGATATTCTTTTGTTCATAGGGCATCTTGTTCATGGTTTCTTGCAAATTTAGGACAGTTCTGGATAAAGCACCTGTAGAGAACTTGAGTTCTCAACTTTTCGTAGCTTTCTAATGAAATTTACTTGAGATACTTGTAACTCATTGGCCCTGCCGTTCTTTGTTCTTATTTCCTAAGGAAGTGTGTGTGTGTGTATACACTGTCACATACAAAACCTATATTCCACAAAATATTATTTCCTTGCTC